CATAATGCATGCTTACCCCTTCACAGGGGACTCCAGGCTCTGAGGATCAGAGTGAAAGCTGAAGAAAGTATCCCCAGATGCCACTAACAGCAGTGTGGAGGCTCAGGGCAGGAAGGAGAGGAGGAGCTGAGGGGAGGGGCAGACCAGGCAACACAAAGACAGTGTGGGTTCCCAGAACTAAACAAGAAAGTCAACCAGCAGGGACCAGAGAGCACGGTGATGGAGAAAAATAGAACACTGGCCAACAGCTTAAGCCATGGGAAGGGTTTTGAGATCAGGCAAGCTGGGGCAGGAGCAGGTCCCGCTCCAAGCTGTAACCCAGCCCCAAATTATTCTTCTTTCCCCTTTTTCCTCACCTTGACTGCCTCAGTGTGGAGTCTGTGTAGCAGCTGTCGTTGGCCACTGCTCACATATTACATACTACATACTCTGGGGCAAAGGTCACAGGCACTAAAACTGCCCACAGGTCCAGTCCCTCCACACTACTGATGACAAGACCCTCAAACAAGCACTGGAAAAGGGGTTCTAAGGGGTTCCCCCACTGTCCAGGTGAAGAGTCAGGTACATCGAGAGAACTGCTGGGCTTAGAGATCAGACAAATCAGAGTTTAAATACTGTTTATGTCATTTGCTAGCTGTGTTATTTTTGTATAGTTATGAAAGCCATCTATTTCAAACAGCTTGTTTGAAAATTAAATGCAGTAAGGCATGGCAAGGTCAGTGCCTAACACACAGCAAAACACCCAATAAAGATCCAGTTCGCTTGGTTCTTCCCACTACTGAGGGGGTTCAAGTCAGACAGCCTGACAGTTCCACTGCTTTCTGGCTACGTAACTTTGGGCAAGACACTTTCAAACCTGAGTCTTAGCTTCTTAGTGGGTAAAATGGAGATAACATTACTCATCTCGCATGGCTTTTAAAGGAAGTGAGGAGGATGAAAATTGTCAAACTCAGCTCCTGACACAATACCCATCGCCTCTCATTATTGGTGGGTGTGACCAAGATGAGGAAAAGGCCAGGGACGGAGGTGCAAACCTATAAACCAAGCTCGGGTCTCTGCTGCTCGGGAGGCAGGGCCTAGCAGCCAACCGAACAGTAAGCCTATCCTCTTGAGAACCACTCACCTGGTGGTTCCAGATAGAGCCCTCTTTGCTGCGCTCGTCAGGGGTCAGACGTACGTACTGGCTCGTGAGCATAGTACTGCCCTGGAAGTCCCAGAGGGGCATAGAGCTGGAACCGACCCCTGTGGGAAGAGACAGGTGCTAAGAGGCCACGCCAGGACTGACCTCGCCAGAGGCAGGAGACCCACAGAGGTGCTCTGCTCAGGAGAAACGGCACGCCTTCCCCCAGCCCTGTTCAGCCTCGCCCTCACCCTTCACTCATTCCCACCACAAGGGCTTCACCTTGGTAGGGCTTAATGAGCGAATGCTCCCGCTTGAGATGTTCACTGTTGCCGTCAGTTATATCCGCAGTCACAGACCCCAGCAACAAAAGAAGAAAGAGAGGTGTAGTGGGGCCAGGGCCGGGGCCGGGAAGCCCAGGCCTTCCCAGGCACCGCCGGCCCCAGCCCCAACGCCAAATCCAGCCTCCCGCCGCCATTCTCCTCGCCTCTCGGCCACTTCCGCCCTAGAAGTTCCGCCTTCCGGGTGTCCCATCTAATGGCCTCCGGCCGGAAGCTCTTCAACTTTAGGGTCACCAGGGAGTCAAAAAGCAAAGCCTCTGCAGCAGAGGGGGCGGCAGCTGCATTGGTCGGGCAGCCTCTCATCCTGGTTGAGCGCAGTTCCATCTCCTTAGAGGATCCAAGGCACAGGCCGGCCAGCCCCAGCAATGGGTTCTTAGGAGCGACAAGAGCTGTAACCAGTCACGGAACAGCACGTTAGGCTTGCGAGCCAATGAGGAGCAGAGGGGTGGTTGGAGCCGGCGGGAGCGCGAGGACAGGCCGCGACTCGCGGCATGCTGGAATTTGTAGTTTTTATTGGTCGCTCTAATGGGCCGGATGCGGGAAGACTAGGATGTCCTGGGCTTCTGGCTGCAAGTTCAGTCTCTGGAATAACCTTTTCTAGTCCTGGTGAAAGGAGCTCTGAATTGAAGGCCGAGTCCTGAATTCCAGCTCTTGGCCTCCCCGGGTGGCCGTGGGCAGCCTTTAAGCAGTGCAGCCCCAGCTTCACGCCTTTGGACACTCAGAATTCCCAGTTATTTGAGGGCCTCCACTACCCTCAACTCCTCAGGCCTAGTCGGGTTGAAGCACGAGGAACAGACACAGATCCTGGCCTGGGACCCCAGTGATCACTGGATCATCCCTATGCAAAAGAGTGCAGTGCCGAGTACAGCAAGAAGCATCCGTGAAAGGCTCAGGAAAGTTGTGAATCAGAGGTCGAAAATGTCAGGCCTCTGAGCCCAAGCCAAGCCATCGCATCCCCTGTGACTTGCACGTATACGCCCAGATGGCCTGAAGTAACCGAAGAATCACAAAAGAAGTGAAAATGCCCTGCCCCGCCTTAACTGATGACATTCCACCACAAAAGAAGTGAAAATGGCTGGTCCTTGCCTTAAGCAATGACATTGTCTTGTGTCTGGCTTATCCTGGCTCAAAAAGCTCCCCCACTGAGCACCTTGTGCCTCCCACTCCTGCCCGCCAGAGAACAACCCCTCTTTGACTGGAATTTTCCTTTACCTACCCAAATCCTATAAAACCGCCCCACACTTATCTCCCTTCGCTGACTCAGCCCGCCTGCTCCCAGGTGATTAAAAAGCTTTATTGCTCACACAAAGCCTGTTTGGTGGTCTCTTCACACGGACGCTCATGACATTTTGGTGCCATGACTCGGATCGGGGGACCCCTCCTTGGTAGATCAATCCCCTGTCCTCCTGCTCTTTGCTCTGTGAGAAAGATCCACCTACGACCTCGGTTCCTCAGACCCACCAGCCTAAGGAACATCTCGCAAACATCTCACCAATATTAAATTGGGTAAGCGGCCCCTTTTTACTCTCTTGTCCAACCTCTCTCACTATCTCTCAACCTCTTTCTCCTTTCAATCTTGACACCACCCCTCAATCTCTCCCTTCTCTTAATTTCAATTCCTTTCATTTTCTGGTAGAGACAAAGGAGACACGTTTTATCCCTGGACCCAAAATGCCGGCGCCGGTCACGGACTGGGGAAGGCAGCCTCCCTTGGTGTTTAATCATTGCAGGGACGCCTCTCTGATTACTCACCCACGTTTCAGAGGTGTCTGACCATGCTGCAGGGACGCCTGCCTTGGTCCTTCACCCTTAGCAGCAAGCCCCGCTTTTCTGGGGGATGGGCAAGCACCCCGACCCCCTTCTCTCCCTGTTTCTACCCCTTCTCTGCTTTTCTAGGGGAAGGGCAAGCACCCTGACCCCTTCTCTCCCTGTTTCTACCCCTTCTCTGCTTTTCTGGGGGAGGGGCAAGCACCCTGACCCCTTCTCTCCCTGTTTCTACCCCTTCTCTGCTTTTCTGGGGGAGGGGCAAGAACCCCGACCTCTTATTTTTGTGCCCCAACCTCTTCTTTTTGCGCCCCAACCTTTTTGCACCCCGACCTCTTATTTTTGCACTCCAATCCCTTATTTCTGCACCCTGACCCCTTTCCTGCTTTTCTGGAGGGCAAGAACCCCCGAACTCCTTCTCTCCATATCTCTACTCTTTCTTTTCTCTGGGCTTGCCTCCTTCACTATGGGCAACATTCCACCCTCCATTCCTCCTTCTTCTCCTTTAGCCTGTGTTCTCAAGAACTTAAAACCTCTTCAACTCACACCTGACCTAAAACCTAAATGCCTTATTTTCTTCTACAATGCCGCTTAACCCCAATACAAACTCGACAGTAGTTCCAAATAACCAGAAAATGGCACTTTCGATTTTTCCATCCTACAAGATCTAAATAATTCTTGTCGTAAAATGGGCAAACGGTCTGAAGTGCCTGACGTCCAGGCATTCTTTTACACATCGGTCCCTCCCTAGTCTCTGTTCCCAATGCAACTCGTCCCAAATCTTCCTTCTTTCCTTCCTGCCTGTCCCCTCAGTCCCAACCCCAAGCGTCGCTGAGTCTTTCTAATCATCCTTTTCTACAGACCCATCTGACCTCTGCCCTCCTCACCAGGCCAAGCTAGGTCCCAATAATTCCAGCCCTCAAACCCCACAACAGGACTTAATGAACCTCGCCTTCAAGGTGTACAGTAATAGAGGCAGCCAAGTAGCAACTTATTTCTGAATTGCAATTCCTTGCCTCCACTGTGAGACAAACCCCAGCCACATTTCCAGCACACAACTCCAAACGCCTGGGCTGCAGCTGCCAGGGGTTCCTCCAGAATCTCCTCCCCCAGGAGCTTGCTACAAGTGCCGGAAATCTGGCCACTGGGCCAAGGAATGCCCGCAGCCCGGGATTCCTCCTAAGCCGTGTCCCATCTGTGCGGGACCCCGCTGGAAATCGGACTGTCCAACTCGCCCGGCAGCCACTCCCAGAGCCCTGGAGCTCTGGCCCAAGGCTCTCTGACTGACTTCTTCCCACACCTTCTCGGCTTCGTGGCTGAAGATTGACGCTGCCCCATCGCCTCAGAAGCTTCCTGGACCATCACAGATGCTTTGGGTAACTCTTACAGTGGAGGGTAAGTCCGTCCCCTTCTTAATCAATACGGAGGCTACCCACTCCACATTACCTTCCTTTCAAGGGCCTGTTTCCCTTGCCTCCATAACTGTTGTGGGTATGGACGGCCAGGCTTCTAAACCTCTGAAAACTCCCCAACTCTGGTGTCAACTTGGACAACACTCTTTTATGCATTCCTTTTTAGTTATCCCCACCTGCCCAGTTCCCTTATTAGGCCAAGACATTTTAACTAAATTATCTGCTTCCCTGACTATTCCTAGACTACAGCCACACCTCATTGCTGCCTTTTCCCCCAGTTCAAAGCCTCCTTCACATCCTCCCCTAGTATCCCCCCACCTTAACCCACATCATGCACCCCTTACCATCTCATTAAAACCTAATCACCCTTACCCCACTCAACGCCAATATCCCATACCACAGCACACTTTAAAAGGATTAAAGCCTGTTATCACTCGCCTGCTACAGCATGGCCTTTTAAAGCCTGTAAACTCCCCATACAATTCCCCCATTTTACTGTCCTAAAACCAGACAAGGCTTACAGGTTAAATCCGCACCTTATCAACCAAATTGTCTTACCTATCCACCCCATAGTGCCAAACCCTTATACTCTCCTATTCTCAATACCTCCCTCCACAACCCATCATTCTGTTCTGGATCTCAAACATACTTTCTTTACTATTTCTTTACACCCTTCATCCCAGCCTCTCTTGCTTTCACTTGGACTGACTCTGACACCCATCAGGCTCAGCAAATTACCTACGGTGTACTGCTACAAGGCTTCACGGACAGCCCCCATTACTTCAGTCAAGCCCAAATTTCTTCCTTATCTGTTACCTATCTCGGCATAATTCTCATAAATACACACTTACTCTCCCTGCCGAGCATGTCTGGCTAATCTCCCAAACCCCAATCCCTTCTACAAAACAACTCCTTTCCTTCCTAGGGATGGTTAGTGCGGACAGAATTCTTACACAAGAGCCAGGACTGCAGCCTTTCTGTCCAAACGACCTTACTGTTTTAGCCTAGCCCTCATATCTGCACGCAGCGGCTGCCAATGCTTTAATACTGTTAGAGGCCCTAAAAATCACAAACTATGCTCAACTCTCTACAGTTCTCATAACTTCCAAAATCTATTTTCTTCCATCGCTCAGGACAATGCTTATGCTGATAAGTTAGCTAAAAAAGCAGCTAGCGTTCCAACTTCTATCCCTCACAGCAGTTTTCCTCCTTCACATCGGCCACTCCCACCTCCCCCGCTGAAACTTCCACCTATCAGTCTCTTCCCACACAAGGCAAATGGTTCTTAGACCAAGGAAAATATCTCCTTCCAGCCTCACAGGCCCATTCTATTATGTTGTCATTTCATAACCTCTTCCATGTAGGTTACAAACCGCTGGCCTATCTCTTAGAACCTCTCATTTCCTTTCCATCCTAGAAAGCTATCCTCAAGATCACTTCTCAGTGTTCCATCTACTATTCTCCTACCCCTCAGGGATTGTTCAGGCCCCCTCCCTTTCCTACACATCAAGCTCGGGGATTTGCCCCTGCCCAGGACTAGCAAATTAACTTTACTCACATGTCAGAAAACTAAAATACCTCTTGGTCTAGGTAGACACTTTCACTGGATAAGCAGAGGCCTTTCCCACAGGGTCTGAGAAGACCACCACGGTCATTTCTTCCCTTCTGTCAGACATAATTCCTTTAATTCCTCGGTTTGGCCTTCCTAACTCCATACAGTCTGATAAAGTACCAGCCTTTATTAGTCAAATCACCCAAGCAGTTTCTCAGGCTCTCGGTATTCAGTGAACCTTTATATCCTTTACCGTCCTCAATCTTCAGGAAAGGTAGACGGACTGATGGTCTTTTAAAAACACACCCCACCAAGCTCAGTCACCAACTTAAAAAGGACTAGACAATACTTTTACCACTTTCCCTTCTCAGAATTCAGGCCTGTCCTCGGAGTGCTACAGGTTCCAGTCCATTTGAGCTCCTGTGTGGACACTCCTTTTTATTAAGTCCCAGACTCATTCCAGACAGCAGACCTACTTGGACTGTACCCCAAAAAACTTGTCATCCCTACTATCTTCTGTCTAGTCATACTCCTATTCACCGTTCTCAACTACTCATAAATGCCCTGCTCGTGTTTACACTGCTAGTTTACACTGTTTCTCCAAGCCATCACAGCTGGTATCTCCTAGTGCTACCCCAAACCACCA